TGTTTCCCTCGAACTATTAATTTCCAGAGTCCCCTTTCTCTCTTTCTTCTCGATCGCATCACACTTGAAGTCTGGTATCTGTCATAAATTGGGACGTCCTGCTCAGTTCATCTGGCGGCCCGTATAGCTTGTCCCCTTTCTCTCTTCTTTCTATTAATTTCCAGGGTCACCTTTCTCTCTTCTTTCTATTAATTTCCAGGGTCACTTTTCTCTCCTTTGTCTATTAATTTCCAGGGTCACTTCTCTCTCCTCTATTTCTTAATTTCCAGGGTCACTTTTCTGTCCTCCATCTATTAATTTCCAGGATCACTCCGTCTATTAATTTCCAGGGTCACTTTTCTCTCCTCTGTCTATTAATTTCCAGGGTCACTTTTCTCTCCTCTGTCTATTAATTTCCAGGGTCAACTGACAGAGATCAAGACCAGCGGAGGACGTGCCAAAGTGACACAAGATTCTAAACCTGGCAACTCGTTTCTGCAAAAAGCTTTGGAGACACGGCAAAACTCACAGGAGTACCAAAAGTTGCTTGAAAACCGACGGAACTTACCTGTGTTCCAGTATAAGGAGAAGGTGATATATTATGTTGTTTCAGTTTGTGCAGTGTGTGTGTGTGTGTGTGTGTGTGTGTGTGTGTGTGTGTGTGTGTGTGTGTGTGTTTGTTACTCTCTTACAACAATTCTAATCTTCGGCACTTTTGTGATCTGATTGTGTTGCAAGAGCCGTAAAACTCTTACTTAATTATTTGTTTAAACATAGAAGGAGTCAGAAAAATAAAGGTTTTAAGTCACGTTGAGACGTTTCGAAAAAGAAACTTTAACACAAAAACAGAGGGCGCTGAACTGATTATACTTCTGTGTTTAGGCCATTTATGGAGGTCATAATCTCATATTTGTGAGGCAACGTGGTGAAATCAGGCTCTCGTCAAAATAGTGAAAGTGAAGAAATTGAGATTTTGTCGCTGGTTTGAGAGTTTTTATCGAATTTTTTGTTTTGTTTTGGATTAACACCTCTCATGCCCATTTAAGAACACATTTCTGTGTGGATTTTACTGAAAAACCTTGATTAAAGACAAAAGATTTTCAGTTTCCACGGACTCTCAAAATAGGGGATTAATTAAACTTTGGCGGCCATTTTCTCGCTAATTTTACCCATGAAACCAAGCGACACACACACACACACACACACACACACACACACACA